TACCACCTCCACGTCCAACAGAGCGGCGTGTGTGTGAGAACACTGTGTCAACAGAAAGAGCAGCTGGTGTGACTGTATTTTCTGGGTGGATCCAGGTTTGTGCCTGAATGTCTGACATTTTTGCAAGTGCTTGGATGAATTCAGTTTTATTCACAGCAGATTGACAGTTCCAGAGGCCAAAAGTAAATGAAGGGTGGGTAGAAGAGGCTTTCTTAAGCAGAGACAAGTTGTAAGATTTTGTTGTTGTAAACTCTATGAAAGATGTGTCTTTTCCTGTTCCCATGAGTGACAGAGATTTCTTTGTAGCACATGTTACGTTTAGCAGATGACCAGAGAAAATAGGCAAAGCAGTAGTCGTGGATGCACGGGCTCTGTGGCCACGCTGAAGTGTCAGTTTTCAGATCAGAGCTTGTTCTGCTGGCAGTTTCGGATTCAGACTCTTTTAAGCTTGGATTTTCCTGTTGATGCTCAGAGAATGAAACTTAAGTGCTCAGTCCAAACAAAGCCTGACAACGACCCACTATCGATATCTACTCAAAGCAAGTACTCAAAGCAAGAAAAACTACTTCTTGTTGACTAAATAAGTGACTAAAACAAATTTATTCAAGCTTTTGAAACAGCATCACCAATACAGTATAACAAACACCTTCATGTCCCTCATTCAAGCGCTTTGAGTAGTCCGAAGACTAGAAAAGCGCTATATAAGATCAAGTCCATTTACCATTTACCATCAGTTATCTAACTGCTTATCCATTTGGGGTCACAGAGGCTGGAGCATATTCCAGCTGTCATTGGGTGAGAGGTGACCTTAATTTCATAGTTGTAAATGTTCTGTACACATTACATTCTGTCTACACATACAGTTTATACATTGGAGGGAAGAGGAGGCTGTTAGGGGCTGGATTACCTGAATGAGGACCTTTCCCAGGCAGACGGACGGTGTGCTGAGCTCAGCCAGAAACAAGAGGCCCTGAAAGTAATCACCTTTACCCTCCCTCCACAGCTGACACACACACACACACACACACACACACACACACACACACACACACACACACACACATCAAAGTATTAGTCAACATGCTTTACTCATTTTCTGACTGTTAAAGAAACAATAATAGTGCTTAATGAGTAAAGGTCAATTAACACGTTAATGAATCGTCCTCCTTACCAGAGAGGCGGGGAAGCAGAAGGCCACCATGAAGATGTGATGAAGCACCATGAGCAGCTCTCGGCGCAGGTACCCCACCACAGCAGCTCTTGTGGACCGGATCCGACCCCCCTCCTCCTCCATGTGATCTTTGACCTGCAGCTTGTGCCAGTCGCACAAGAACATGGCGTAGATGTCGTAGGCAAAGTAAGGAGTCGCAAATAGAATGTAGGTGTCAGTCAACCAATGTCTGAGGAGGAAAGCGTTGGGGGGGGAAAGTGTTAGTCTCCACTAATCATATGAACTATTGGTATTTAACTATCTTATAGATGTTTTATTCTGGTGTGTTTTCCAACCCTGAAATGTAACACAACTGAGTGGCAACGTGTAGGTCTTCTTAGTTTTTATTTTTAAGTACAAAAAAAGTCTGATTTATGTCCAAAGTTATGATTTAAAGTAGTAACAAAATTTTAGGGTGGCATCAGTGGTGGCCAATCATATTCCAAGGGGGGGCCATGCCACCCCTGCCCCCCATCTGAACACACCCCTGCTGCCTGTATGAACAATAAGGTGACATGATGAGAGTCTCGGAGGAGAAATCCAGTGTTTTAAATCTTTGGCTCAAAGAGATTGCCTTGGTTGTTTTTTCTCATCTTTCTATTTGAATGTGTATGTCGGTGTTGCATATTCCTTCATTACTTATTTCAAAAACATTTAGACGACAGTAAAAGAGTTGAGTTTTTATGCAGCTGCTCCCCCCAGAGATCTTTTCTGCATGGTCACTGTGTGTCTGTGGTGTGATTTGATAAACAAATGCGGGCCAACCCCCTTTCCACTTTGACAGGGAAATGAAGGAGCTGACAGAGGAAACCTGGGATTCACTGAAACAATCCCTCCTGTCTCACACTCTTCCTCTTAGTAATTTAGCTTCCTATTATCCTCAGTTTGGAGGATTAGGGTTCTCTGTGACCGTCTCAGAGACTGAAATAGCTCCTCTGCTGCTTGGCTCAGGAGATGCATTAGACTCGGATTTTTAAGTAGATTACAGACTGAGGACTGCTTCAGTCACATACATGAAGCCCCAGTGTATTAAAGAACTCTTGTTCTTAGGAAATACTGCCATCACGTTTTACTCTTTGAGCTGTATTATTTGGAAAATACATTTAAGGTTTATTTTGGGCTTTGTATGCCTTTATTACGAGTTAGGACAGTAGATAGAGCCAGAAAGAGAGAGAATGGGGAATGACATGCAGGAAAGGAGCCGCAAGTCAGATTTGAACCCAGGCCATCCGCCTCGAGGACTATGGCGCATGCACTTACCACTATGCTACCAGCCTGTCTAAGTTTCAATTTTAGGGGTATTAGTAAGAAAAAATAAATAAAACTGAATTGTATCACAGTATGCTAGCATTTATTTAGGCTGCTCAATTTGTATTAAAGCTAAATTCCACCATCAGCATGCCAACATACCTAAGCTAACATGCTCATTTTCTTCAGGTAGCAAGGAGTGTTCTCCAGGCGTACCGTTGTTGTACTTTCACATTTCAAATGCCTGTTGAGTTAGCTATTTCAACTAATCTAAGTACGGTGTGGAGACAAAATGTTGACAGAAGCATTTGTTTCTTGAAAAGTAAAGTTTGGGGATTTAAATTTCTGGGCTAAAAGAGCATTGTTTACATCTAAACACCAATGTAATGATGTTAGTGATACATAATGCCATGTTCACCATAGTTTCATAAATCATAGTTTACAGAGTTAGCATGCTAGTACTAGCTAATGTTAGCATTTCAAGAGATGAACATTTTTGTATACCCAAAAAAGTAAGAGGAGGATGAAAAGAGAAAGAAACCTTCACCTGTCCTGTATGATGTCTCTGCAGGAAGAGGCGATGATACATCCAGCTGAGGAGGCCATGATGGCTTGGACAGAAGACACCAGTCTGAGAGCAGGAAGAAAAAGAAATACTCAGTCAGTCTGTTTTATACTCAGGAGATATTTTTATAAGTCTTGTACTGTTTATTTGTTCTAAATCTGAACAGTGAAGAAAGCAAACATTTGAGGAGCACCACTGTTTTTGAAGACCTCTGATTGAACCTTCACTCAAACCTGACCAACATCACATTTGTTTGACCTCCTGAAGCTCCAATATCGTTCCTCTTCTTCAGACTTGATAAGTCAAAGACCAGGATCAGAATCAGAGACTTTGATCGTAACTGTTCAAACACTGTACATATTTTTAGGCTGACAATTAAGGAACAAATAGGAGGTCCTCACAAGGTACATGTGTATGTGTTTGGATGTGTGCATTCTTACCGTGTGGAGACGATGGCAGCATCCCCCTCGCTCCATCCCATCGTGTGTTTCAGACCCTTTTTTGGAGAGCAGAAAGAGTCCTGGGAAGAAGACGGAGCCGGCAGCAATCAGGGCCGCCATGGCTCCTGAGTGTGTGTGTGCGAATATGTGTGTACTGATGTTTGTTTGTGTCCTACACACTCTGTAGATGTGCTGTGAATTTAAATGAGGACAGGTTTTCCAGGAGCTCAGAGAGGAGGATCAGCTGGGAGGAGCCTCCTGCTGCCACCTGTCAGAGGAGGTTATATACTCGACTGTTGTAAAGATACTAAAACCATGAAGAAGAAATACTCCGTGACAGAGAAATATCCTGAACTAAAAATGAAACTGTAATTGGAATTATTAAAAAAAAGAAGATATTTTCTATTTTTTTAAATTATAATTGCTGAAATTGTTGATGTATGTAAATTACTAGATGCATCTAAAATGTAAATTAAAAATGTGACTATATTTATAAAAGAGCTATAAGAGCACCATCAGGTTTTTCAGACGGATGGATGGGATTTTTATGGTCTAAGTTTTCTCTTTTGTTTGAATTTCCTTTATAAAATAACTGAATGACTGCAAATCAATAGGAAATGACTGATCTGCTCTTTTAATTATTTCAACAAACTAGTAGAGGTTTTTCAAGGAAACTGTCTAGGAAGCTATTTATGAAATGACAGAAATAAGAAATTCAATGTTTTGTTCTCTGGCATTTTCATACCACAGCTGAATGAAAGATAATCTTCTGTTTGGCGTGCTGAATCTTAAAATGTATTTGCTCAGATTCTTCCACATGAAAGATTGATGTTTTGATGTGTTCTCACTTTGAAGGTCACATACAGCCCTGCAAAATTCACTTCACAATGTTTTTCAAAAACTAATGTGTCCCTAGTTTGTCTTCATAGCCCTCAATTGTGAGAAAAGTCCATCCTCTACCTCTTTTGCCTGCTCCAGAAAATGTGTGCTCAAACAGGCCATTTGGAGAGTTTCCCTTCATGACATCACAAAGGGCAGTAACCCCTCCCCCAGGTGGGAGACACTCCTACAGCTAGGTGTGTGTTCTGCCTTCTTCCTGTAATCAATTCGGCATAGTGCCAGAAAGCCCGAGCCACCCACGTCCTTCCAGAGAGGGGTGTGGTCAAACACAGGTCATTTGCATTTAAAGGTACAGGCAATAGAGGGGTTCATAGACATGGTAAAATACTTGTTGAAAAGGAGGGTAATATGTGTCCTTTAAAATGTGTCTCCAGAGCCAGGACAGCTTGATACCAGCCGTATCTTAATGAGATGTGAAGCAGCTGAACTGACTTTCAGGAATCATTCTGGAGCTTCCTGATGCAGATCATTCACTGATCTGTAAATCTAGAAGTCTGTTCTCATGTGAAGAAGCGCTGATCTGCATGAATTCAAACTGAAGATGTTCTTCTACATAAAATGAAATATCGCTCACTGACCCTTTCCATTTTTTATGAGGTCATCAACGTGAACACAGAGAAAAAACTTCAAAACAGGCTAAAGGTATATTATCCAGTGTCCATTTATTTATTTCATCATTCACTACTTTAACTCTAAACTTTTTTTTTTTTTTTTTTAAGAAATTCAAGTATTTGTTGGGAACACAGGTCAAAAAAAACAAAACAAAAAACCTTTATGCTAAAACAAGGACAAAACATCAGTTTCATATTTAGAATAATAAAAACATCAAGTTTCTTTTCATAGAAGAAAAACAAGTCTAATCTCTACAGATGACCGCTTTGTCCAACCCGCTCTGCGTCAGTTCTAATCCAGCGTTGAAAACACCGAACAGACAAGCTGAACGTGAGACTCGCCAGGTGAACTCTGAACACACTAAACCGGTCATCTAGTTTAAAATCCGTTTCTCACCTGGAAGGATCTCTACAAACACAACAACAGAACAAAAAAAAAAAGAAAGCAAATAAAAAGTCCAAAAAAGGGAAAACGTTTCAAGTAATTGTTCCCTAAAGCTGACGATTGTTTCTCAAAATTACTCCACAAACTTTGTTTGAACCTTTCCTCTAATATTTGCAGATTAATTCCATGAAAGGTTGAAGGTAGAATTAATCATGACCATTTATTTTAAGTATACTTGTGTTAGTGAAGCTTTTGCAACGAGTTCAGTTTTCTGCTGTGACAGATGGATCAAAATGAGTGTGTTTATGGTGTAACGGCAGCATTGTTGACATCTTTAGTGATTGTAAAGGCATCCAAACAGGACAAATACCTAAAGATCATCAGGGTTTCTCACCAAAATGGAGCTGCAGGGTGTTAAAAGTAAAATGGTAAGTAGGGGAAAGTTTGTTTTATGTGAACTTATTCTGATCAAACGTAACAATTTGAGGACTAAATACACAAAAACATTAACACTAATGCTTTTCTTTAAGGTCGCCGTTTTGTAGTCATGTGATCACAACGAAACGGTGACACTTTAAACAAAAGAATCAGTGTGGTCTGAGAGGTTCGCTCACTGTTCTTGTATTTTAGGGAACAATTAGTCAAGCTGTATTCCGACTCTTGGCTTCATTAAAATCTAATTAGAGCACAACAAAAACAAAACTTCTAATAAAAATCACTTCCTAAAGATGAATTAAATAAAAATTACCACAAAATGTACGCTTTTGTCGTCGCCGACAAACCGAACCATTGCACAGCATTCAAACCAAAATGCTCTCCGTGGGATAATAACTATACACATGCAGATATACAAGGTAGGTAAATCTGGCAGCCTCGACGGGAGGCTTGCTATGTGTTCCTGTAGAAGAGGAGCTGAGGTTTCAGGGGTTTAAAAAAAAAAAGAAAACCAACAACAACAAAAAATAATCAGGGAAACAGAGGATCAGGGCACCACCTGCTGGAGGTTCAGGGCATGTACAAGGAGAAAAAAAAACTTATTATACACAATCCAGGAAGTGAGCAGCCACAGAAACAAACAAGTGTTCTGTGAGATTTCAACACAAAGGAAGGCTTTAAAATCTAAGTGTGATCGGAGATGACAAAACAGGGGCCCAAACATCTCAGCTCCTCCAGACACCAAAGGATCATACTGACGGTTTAAACATGAAGCTTTGTCAAGAATCTGATTATTCCCGCGAGGCAGAAGAATCCATGAAATGAATAAGTGGCCTTCATTTAGTTTTCAGGGAAATGTAGTTAACACAAATATTTTTTCTTCATGGATCTTCATGATTCACATTGGTCACCTCTTCAGGAGAAAAAGCTGAAAGTGTGGAGTAAACTAAAAAAAAAAAATCACATCCTCACGCACGACAGATGAAGACGTCACCTCAGCTTCTGGGAGCATGTGACATTTCCAATCGTGGAAAAAAATTATTTCTTAGCAGCCGAGTTTGACAGATAATCAATCAGCAGTTTTCACCTGGTCTTAAACATGACTGCAGGAACAATCAACCCGGAGGATGTTCTGATGAGACGACAGAGATTCATGTTAGCCATCAGTGTGATTTTCTTTGATTTCAGGGAGGAAACTTCATTTCGTTGCCTTTGGTCTCGCTGCACATTTGACATAAAAAAATGATGCACGACATGATCCGTCTGCGTGTCCTCACTCTTCAGATATAATCCCATTATTCATCATCAGCCCTGATCATGCAAACACACGATCGACACTGGTGCATCCCCTCATGAGGCTTTGTACCTTTTTCTTTGTTTTGTTTACAAACAGGTCACCGGAGCCTCAAACTACAAAACGATATTAATAACAACTACAAATCAAAAGAGAAAAAAAAAAAAAAAGCAGCAGCATTTCAGCGACAATATCTCTCTCCTCTCAAAACCTCACACTGATTCTGAGCGGCGGGGCGAGAGACGAGGAGCGAGCGCAGAAGTAAAAAACGAGCAGTTGGAGGAATGACATTTAAGTTGTGACAGGAGGGTTTTCACTTTACACATATTCACACGTTACTTCTTCTTCTTCTTTTCTGTTTCCTCTTTCCAGGGTTTGAGGTAACCAAGACCGCAGAGACGGATCGCTTCAAACTAAAAAACGGTGGAGACACACACTCTTCAACAAACACTCAATAAATAAGAATAGAAAAAAAAAAAAAGGGTCGCAGTTTCCTCTTTCTCTCCTCCGGCAGGGAAAAGAAAAAGCACCTCACATAAGTAACAAAGACTGTTATCCACCTCGACAGGCCAGATATAAAAAAAGCTCAATAATTGTTAGTTTGGCGTCTTTTGTCTGCTTGTGAGGATTTTAAGAATCAGTTTGTGATTAAAAAATCCTGATTTAACTCTCTCATCCTCGGGGCCTAAGCTTTAAAGATGTTTCCGTCTAAATGACTCATCAAACCAAAAACTTCTAGGATAACTATCTGACCCGTTCAGTCACAAAAAACAAGCACTTAAAAGTGGATGTACTAATCAGAAACTCTGAGAATTATGTTGCCGCCTCGCACCACCGCAGACTGGAAGTGTTTGTACCCATCAATCATTTAGACCCCAGAATATGTATTAAAAACGGTGGCTATGTTTCATAATACAGGGATTCCCCTTTAAAGGTGTTCAAACAACACTGATACTAAGACTAAACATTCTCCTCCAAGCTGCGATAAGAAAACGACATCAAAGCTGACTGTTCTTGGGAGAAACAGTGAGGAACTGGGACTGTTGTTGAAACCTGCTACATCTGTTAGATTGCATTATTGTCGCAAAAAAAAACCCCAAAAAAACACAGTGAGTGATGTGTTCATATGCAGTCCGGATTCACAGAGAAACAAAAAGAGAGAAAACCTTGGAGGTTTTTGGCGGTTAATGTTGTGGTGTTGTTTGGCGGGTTTCCGTGGGAGAGCTCGTGACACACCGATCCGGTAAGCTGGTGGTACAGCAAGAACCCAAAAAAGTCTGATTGGCAAGCGAGGATGCCAAGTGTGTGTGTGGTTTTTTTTTCTTCTTCTAATTAAACCATATTGCACAGGGCTGGAATGAATTCAAATATCAACTAAGCAACAACTCTACCAAACAATTAAAATCATTATTTCTTAATGTCTCTACTAACATAGATGGGAAATCCAGTCTAGTACCAAGTTCACTTATTTCCTTCTCTTATTCCTCCTCAAGCACTTCAGCAGCATTTCTTTTAAATTGAGCACCGAAAAAAAAGCCTCAGGCATCTGCTGTCTGGGTCGTCCAAGAAGTTGAGCAGTAGTTTTCAGATTCTTTTAGATTTGCAGAAGGGGGGGGGGGAACTGAGAAGATTTTTTTTTTTTTTAGGAGGAGCTCAGATGAGTTTTGTTTTCCTCTGTCATGGTGGGGTGGGTTTGTTTCCCCACCATGTGAACACAAAAGAAAAAAAAAAAAGATAAAGACCCAAACGCTTCTGTAATTTCCGATGTCCCGGAACACGAAAATCAAACTGCTGTCGCTCCCCAAGAGGGCGAAGAGGACAGTTCATCTCTCCTCTTTCCTAGAGACCTTGGAGGAGTGCCATGCGGTCGACCTGAGGACCCAAAAAGAAAGTTTCAGACACAGAGCAGCTAACATTCATCAATCTGTCAGGGTTCAGTAGACGTATCGTGCAGATCAGATTGTTTGGCATTTCCAGAATGTGGAAAAACCCAAACGTACCGGAAATAATAAGCTGCACTCGTTTCCAAAAGAGTTCAAAATGAATTCCTCATCAACAAACTCAGTAAAACAATTTGACATTAAGAACTAATATGTACAAGACCAAAGCAGGCTGAGTAGAGATTGTGTTATGTAGTCTTCTACTGGGGGTAGCAAAGTGGTATCGCTTATGTTACCGTTTTAACTTCAACTACTGCTGTGGTTAGTAATGCTGTAGCTTTAGCTTTTAACTATGGATGGCAATGTTGTCATATTAGCTCACTGCTAGCTGTAGTTAAGTATCAATCAGGGATGTGATGGGCAAAGGACGATAACGCAGGAATTTATTTTTGAACCTTATTTTTCACATGCCAACAGAGGAAGCATGTTTAGTATTAAACTACATGCACAGAGCGGACTAAATAAAAGGAACGTGGAACAGAGCACAAAAAAAAGAGAAAGAAGCTTAATTATGAGTTCCTCCTCACCTGATGAAGGTCTTGAAGGCAGCACTCTGAGGGTTGATGCACAGCGGAACTCGTTTCCCCTGCTGGTGCTCCGTAATGAAGCGATGGATTAACTCTGATGTTGGGACAGAAAGGGACACGGCACAATGAGAATTCCTAATCGCACAGTAACACTCACAGTGGGCGTCAGTCGACGTGGAGAGCTTGGTACCTTTTCCCTGCCACACTGACAGCAGACTGTTTTCGTAGCTGTGGCTGAACGGGCGCTCGGCGACTGGCTCAAAGTCCCGGGTGTAAACTCGGCCACTGGGGACAGAGTAGCAGCACTGACACATGCAGGTGTGATAGCGGAGACGGCCCTCGTCCAGGTATGGGTGAGAGAGGGCGTCACTGCCGGAAATCCGCTTAGCCTGCACAGAGAGGGATACATTTAGTCGCTGTCCTGATCCAGAAACACGTATTGTGTCAGCTGGTGACACGCACGCACGCACGCACGCACGCACGCACGCACGCCAGGCGTCTGTTCTGTGTGAACTCACCGGATCAAAGACCAGCATCCGACAGAGCAGGTGAACAGCCTCGTGTGTGGCTCCATCAGACAGCATGTAGAGCACGGACAGTGACGGCTGGGCAAAACAAAAACAAACACTTTCATAAGTCTTGATGTAAATATTTGTGTTTATAAACCGTTGGTACTTCAGTGCAGATATCATCTCAGCCAAATATGACAATTCCACATTCTTCTTTTCTTTTTTTGATATGATATATATGATATGACCGAGCAGCCTGGCGCCATAAAATCATTCATGATGTACTGAAAACTGACATACATACATTTTAAATACAGGGAGGAAAGGAAAGCGCTTATCCCAGCTAATTTAAGTATATACCTGATTTTTTTCTCTCACATTTGACCCATCCAACTCAAAAAAAATATATGCTTAATGTTGGCTTCACTGTCTGTTCAATTTGTCTTAATATCCTCTGCGGCTTAACTTTAAATTCTGCATGACACCTAAAATCATTTCTCACATGTCTGAACTTAACAAAGCCAGACATATACAAACTCAATAGGCAGATTTTAAAACCATTTTCTTTACTTCTGTGAAATATTTAGACATGTTTGTTGTTGTTGTTTTCTGTCTGTGTTGGTGGACCGCGACTGTGAGCGGACCACACACACACAGAGATACGTTACGTACCGGTTTGTGCGGCCCCCTCAGGATGTGGGCTCTAGCTCCTTCACAGGCGGACGACAGGGCAGAGAGAGGCGGAGTTCCCAGCAGGTCTGTGATCAGATCCAGCTGGACCAGGACAAGAGGCAGGACAGGTGTGTTAAAGTAAGTGCTCACATCTTTTACTGCTAAACTACAAAGAGTGACAACAAATAAAAAGCACTAGTTCTAAGGATTTGAATACTAAATATGATGTCAACCCTAACCCGTCAGATAAATTCACCTGTTGGATCGGGCTTTGAGCCTGGAAGAGGATGCGGCGTCCCAGCAGTTCGGCAAAGATGCATCCCACCGACCAAACATCGATGGCCGAGCCGTAGTGTCGGCATCCCATCAGCACCTCCGGAGCTCTGTAGTACTGCGTCACCACCTCCTGGGTCATGTGACGCGACGGGTCGGGCTCCTCCACCCTCGCCAAGCCGAAGTCACAAATCTTACCAGAAGAAAAATGTTTTCAAAGACACTGTTGGATTCTTTTGTACAAACTTCAGGACTAGTTGGTATTCTGGGTGTTTTCAGACTTTTGATTCACAATGAATAGTAGTTCAGATTATTCTGCGCTCCCCTTTCACCAAACGAGAAATGTTTTTATATTGCGTCTATTTTATTTTGTGTGTTTTTTCGCGCGACACACAACCAAAAAAAAAAAAAAAAAAAAAACACTTCTTGTGTGAGAAGGTTTCTTACCTTCAGTAAGCAGTTGCTGTTGACCAGTAGGTTTCCAGGTTTGATGTCCCTGTGCAGGATCCCAGCGGAGTGCAAGTACTTCAAACCTGAGCAACACAACATCATTTCATGTCTTCTGTGTCCTGCATTCTCAAGTAAGCTTCAGCTTTTGTACTGTGCATGTTTGTACAAAATGTATGTCAAAAAGGTTAAAAAATTAATCAATAAAAAAAACACAATTAGTGCACTGGATTTGTATTATAACGAGGCTCTTAGGGGTAATTGAATGCATCTAAACCTTTATTATTCTAGGGGCCTTTTGCCTTTACCGTTAGGACAGCTGAAAAGAAAGACAGGAAATGTGGGGAGGAGAGAGCGGGGGTAGATATGCATCCAACCGGTAACCTACGACTGTAGACTTTGTAAATGGACGCACGCGCTACCAGTTGAGCTACGCTGGCACCCCTGGATCTGAACCTTCGATGATGATTTTGTGACCCTTATTAAACAAAATTAAAGAATGTGTTTCAGCGTAACCCTCTTAGGGACTGCACTGCTCACGAGTCACCTTTTCTTCTTACAGATATGTAACGTAGTTGCAGATGAATCAATGATGAAAATAGTAATGGAACCCCCCTCAAAAATAACTATTTAACTATACAAGAAACCAGTTGTTGACACACTGTTTTTTCTTTTGTCATTAAAATTAAGTAACTGGAAACAGAGTTTTTGGAATACTTTTAAGATATCTGTATTTTTATTAAGAAGGAATTGTTAGATCACTTAAAAAGAGTCATCGCTAAACACGTTTTGTTAATTTGTTTGTAAATTACTTTTGAAATTCTTTGTATCAAAGTGTGACCTACTAATAAAGTTTAATTGCCTTAAATAACTGCAAGAAGCTACATGTTTTAATAGTGTATCTCCCTATAACATAAATAACCATTATATCTGTGCAGTGTCTTGATTATTAAAGCTCAGCTCAGCTACCACCCCTCTGCCACTGTAGTGTCTACTCACCTCGAAGGATCTGATAGAGGAAGACCTTGATGTGGTCGGTGGTAAGAGGCTGAGGAGACACGATCACTTTGTGCAGGTCGCTCTGCATCAGTTCTGTTATCACGTAGCTGCCAGAGGGGGGTGGATGTCAAGGAAAAACCACAGCTCATGCACGGCCTGACCTTGCACCGCCCACACAATCACGGTGCATCTCTGAGCACGGGTCTGGTTGAACATTGTCAATAACACAAAAAAAAAAAAAAGAAGAAAGATGTGAACCAGAAGGTTTAATTATTCACATCTACAGAGAGAAGCTAGATTTAGACCAGAGAGGAGCAGTGGCTAAATTATTAAAAAGGAGGACATGACAGGGACAATTAAAAGCGGAGAAACTGGGGCAGAAGGTGTGACGAAGTTATTATAATAACAGAAAGAGGCTTGTTGCCGACTTATAATCAGTTTTGTCTGAATTCAGAAAGGATACATTTCCTCAAAGCAGTCGATTTGCGGAGGCTGCAAAATGTCCAGTGCTGACAAAACCTGCAAAAAAAGAAAATTTAGTTAGTCCTCTGTTCTCCAAAATCTGTGAATTGCCCCCCACCACTTAGTCCCATTATTACATTGTCATGTTTGAAGAAGCACAGCATCCGCAGCTCTCTGAAAACCCTCTTACAGGAGACCAGGTTCTGGAAGACATTGGGCATCTTTTTCAAAGCCACCTTGCGACCGTCGCGTGGATCTGTAACAGACCTGCAAGGAATCACAGGTAGTTTAGCCTCCAAACATGAATCATTAGAAGTGTTAAATTTAAAAAAAAAAAAAATAAGATAAGCGCTCATCTGCAAAAACCATTGTGATGCTCTGCTGCAGATAGTGCCAGGCCCTGCTGGACAAACTATGTGACAACACAATTTCTTAATTTACACACAGATTTTTTTGCGTTTTGTCTTAAAAAAAACATGGAACAGGAACATGCCTGTATGTGAAACAGTATGTGTTAATGGCATTTATCAGCTGCTTTAATCAGATAAATTACATCAGCAAAGCTCTAACAATAATGCAAGATTTAATGAGAACAACATGAGGATCAGTGTGATGGATAACTTGAGGGTGAGCATCATTATTATTTATAAAATAAATAAAATAAAAAAACACTGGTGAAGTTCTGGATAGTGCTTCTGAATAACATTTACCAGACAACGCCAAATGCGCCATAACCGATCGGGCGGTCCGGCTCCATCTCTGGGGGACTGGGCACCTCGCTGGCCGGGTTGCTGTAGGGCTGAGGCACCGCTGCTCCGCCGCCGGCGCTACCTCCGAGGGCTGTGGGGTGGCGAGGGGTCCCCGCCGGGGCAGTGGGTCCAGTCAGGCACGGTGTAGCGCTGAGGCCCGTGGATGGAGCTCCGCAGGAAGTGTTGACACAGAAGTACTTGTGGCCCAGCTCAGAGCCCGGAAACAAGTCTCCACGAAATGCCATGCCTCCTCTCAACCAAAAAAAAAAACAAAAAAACCCCGAAACACAGTGTGTGTGTGAGTGTGTGTGAGAAAAGAGAGCTGCTTCCCGGCTAGGTGCGGAGGAAACACCGCTTTCCAGTCAGCATTATCTCCCAGCTCCCTGTATGCGCAAAGAAGGAGGACATGCAGCTATAACTGATTTAAACCAATAAACATCAAAGCTGCCTTGACACTGATCGAAGCTGGTTTACTTTCACAAAACATGAACAAAATAACTCAAAAAAACACAGTCACAGACTCTTAAAATGATCTTTGTTTTTGTAGCAGGCTGCACTCACCTGGTTTAGTAGTTAACTTAGCTTTGCAGCTAGCGGACGATGGACACAAATGTGGGGGGGGAAAATATACCTTCAAAGTCGATTTTTTTGTTTTTTTACGTCTTGCCACACAAGCTGCAGAGTAAATGCAACTCGTAGAAGCGTATGCATTCACGTTATTACTTTCCTGTTTGGAAATTCCGAGTAAATAAAAGCCCCTAACAGTGAGGCAGTAAGCGGAGCTATCGTGCTAAACCAGCTGTTCGTAAGTAATAGGTTAACCCAGTGATGACCCATTTAACTCGGTTACAATGACCTACATATTTTTATACAAGAGAGCTGCGCCTTTGTGATTTTTAAATCTTCAAACTAACACACAAACCAAGCTTCGGGGGATTTTAAAAGGCGACGGTAGAAATACTAGTTTGAGACCGGCGAGAAGCCGAGTTTGATGCTCGACGGCGGCGCTCCTGCCCCCGGCTCCTGGAGCTTTTGGTCTGCCCGCTAGCTGTCCATTTCGCCGCGATTCCCTGATTGCAAGCGACCCATGTAGGCAGCTTCTTGTGTTTTCGGGACGAATGCCGTCTCATCCAGCGGGTGTATGTTTAATCCAAGCTGGATATCTTGGTCGCTTTCACAGCTACAGCTAGCTGGTGTAGCTTGTTGAAGTAGGAGGAGCTGGGTGAAGCCGGGTGGGGGAGGGTGGAGGCTCTTCACTGCTGTAAACAATGCTAACTTAGCTTTTTGGGTGCTTTCATGTTACAATCACATGAGCAAACCCCATCATCAAGCAGGAGCAGAATACAAGACATGCATTTTTACTGCTTTTTTTTTTTTTTTTTTTTAATACAGTAGTAACTATGCACCGGGTACAATCAATCTGCACAGCCACAAAAATGTGTCACCAAAAGTAGCTACAAATTACATGGCAATTTACCTTTTTTTTTTAATTTTTTTTTTTTAAAGAATTACAAATCAGCATCCAGAGTAAGAGCAAAGATCACATGAGAGCAGAGAAAGTTATGCACATTCAATGTTCATGGGGATATACACAAGTAATTATTAGTTTGCCTTTATCAGCTGCTGAAAGGTATTTACATGATGGCCCATCTTAAACATCCCATGCTGTGTGAGAATGCTTCCCTCCCACCTTCTGAAGAATCTCAAAAAAGGCAAACTGGAGACTGTTTTGTTGTAAATTATGAGGGGGGGGGTTGCTGAGATTAATCATGTTACATAGTCCAGGTGCTTAGGTCCCCATCATAAACAAACATTGATATGGAGTATAAATGATCAAAAAACAGCAAGAGCTTTACAAAATCATGACAGGCTGTGCAATCAAAAACAATGACATGGCAAATAGAGATAGGTAATTGCGAAGCCATATTAATAAAAAATACACACTATATCTTTCTTCCCTATTTTAATGAGCAGAGGTCTCCTATTAGTGTTGTCCACGGTCTCTTCTCCGGCATCTGACTCGCAGGACATTGTAGAGTATGCAACACGTAGCCTTCATTTAACAGTCTGTCAGTGTTCAGAGTTGGTAAGCTGTTTCACACTGCGGATGGAGCTGGGCTTCACAAAAACAAGCGAAAGGTCCAGAAAGGCCTCATGAAAACCCGTGAGCCAGGCTGAGTAGGAAAGACAATGTCCTTGACAGCTTCTGACGCTCTGTGTTCACTTCTGGCAGTCTGTTAAAAAAAAAGAAAAGAAAGAAAGTGAAAGCGGTTAATTTGATAGTCATTTTTTGTTTGTTTAAAAAGTTAAAATGTGTTTCAACATACACTTAGCAGTTCTTTCTAATAATAGATACACATTCCAGTGGTCTGAAAAGTAACTTCAGAGCGTAATTTAGATATACTGTGGCATTGATATGTTTGGAATTGGTTCATTAACCCTCAAAAGAGGTATTAAGAAACTTGAAACCAATGCATATAAGCTCATTACAGTCACATGTTTATTTATGTATTTTATTTAACTAGGACAGTACACGTACATTAATCAAATTGTTTGTATGTATTTATTGTGGAGCCCAACCAGTCTGGATAGAAGACTGATTCTAGATGGGAAGAATATACAAATGACTGATTTGTGGGTTGGGAACCAGTGACTTAGTAACATCATTTGAGGACATTTATCAGATTGTTTCCAGAGAGACTAAAGGCTGAGTGGTGTGGAAGAGCTTGCCAGGACTTACACCTGAAACATCTGAAAATACTTATATATTACACCTCGATAGCATCAGTTTTAAATGTAAACGCATTTTGAACAACATGATTGTTACATAGCAATGATTCACACACACCTGGACTGGAAACTGTCTCTCAGTTCTCTCCTCCACGAGTCCTTCTTTAACCAAATCCTCTGCCACCATACCCATTACCCGCCCCCATCCCTCCCCACCCCCCACACCCCACCCCCAACCCCCCCACAGCGTGCTAGCTATGGGGCTGGGGGGCAATACTGGAGCAGTCAGTTACCAGCAGTCCCACTGTGCTAGCACTGGACACAGTAACGGCCACACTAGTGGTTCCCACTGGGCCTGTGCTCGTTGGGTCAGGATTGGGGTCACCCTGGTTGGCGTGAGTGCCCATGTGACCCTGGAGCTGTGTGGCTGTCTTGCACTGCACTCCACACAGTTGACAGTGCAGCACCCCGCCAGGACCGGTCCCACCGAAGCTACCCCGCGCCCCGCCGCTCTCCTTCCACTCCTGACCATGGTGCTTCTGAGCGTGGACACGCAGATAAGTGAGGGTGGTGAAGCCTGGAAAACAAGCACAAAACCTTTATAAATAAATGTTTGCCATGTTTAGCCTATTCTAGTTACGAAACAGTGTTATACACTATTCATTATATTATTGTTATATTTTTTACATATCACAGAACCAAATATATAATAATGTACTTAAGTGACTCCAAACTGAGAAATTGTGGACATTTCCCAGTTTGTAACCATTAATAAATCTAATACTGCATTGTGATTATGCTATAATTGCAGTAGTGAGAAGCATTGAAGTAGACTAACTCAGGAACTGTACCTAAAAGAGAATCCTAATGTTTTTAAAGCTGGGTCCTACTTTGACATATACTGTAGGTACAACAAGTTTTTAATCATTTCAGTACATTGTGACTTCTGGCAACTGTGAACAGGCTGTAATGGCTGCAATGTCATCCTGGGGGAAAATCTCAATCAAGGTACATCCACTAAAATGTTTGATAGATTTACCACTGACAGAATCAGATTGTTATTTGAAGTGTCTGACAGCCACCCAGGAAGGATACAGACAAACTCTGCAGAGACGCCTTATTCTTAGAGCACAGCTCCAGTTGAATGAATTTAACCGGAATGATTTTGTGAGGGTATCGTGTGTCTTACTGCGGTTGCACAGGTGGCATTGGTGGTGCTGCGACTGGTTGTGGACCCTCATGTGATCGGTGATGTACGCAGCAGACAGCAGCTTCCCACAGATGTGACACGGCACCTTCTCCTCGTGCCGGATCAGGTGGGCGCGGAGACGATCTCGCGTGGCAAACGCTGACGTGCATGTCTGGAAAACATGAGGACCACATGTACAGATATGTTAAGTCATGAGAGGAGACAAACAGAGAACAGAACGTTTTAAAAACAAGGATGAAGTCATCTAACATTGTATGAATGATTGTCAACAAAAAAGTGCTGGATTACAAAAAGCTTAATCTTTTGTTGTTTTGAACAGAAAATACAATTGTAAAAGTTTAATTAGATTGAATAAACACGTGATCCTCTTCATCTTTCTATTTTTTTTTTAAACAAATGTACAGTGTCTTTGAGTTCCTGAAAAGCACTTTATAAATAAAATGTATTATTATTATTTAAGTAACCCTGGTAGTTCTGATCAGCACTAAAACTATTCACCAAACTATTTAAGTTGAACTCAAGTAAACAGACAAATGAAATGTTACCGTGCACTTGAACGGTCTCTCTGTCGAGTGCACTTGTCGAACGTGGCTGTTGAGGTGGTCTGGTCTGCAATAAATACAGATAAACACCAAACAAACAAGATATTGTGTTACTTTAAGGGTAAAAACTGTGCAAGCATTTAGTCTGGAACATATATTACATTTTCTAAGCTGTAAAGGCAGCAAAAAGCTATTTGGGGAAAATGCATCCCTCTTATTATGTCAACTAGAAGTTGTCTTGTATGCTCCTCACATTGTAATTCTAGGAGTCCGACAACATTACAGCAATGGTCACTACAGTAAAAGACGTTGTTGATAGAGAGATGAAAAACAGCCTTTACAGCTCTCTCTTTTAATCCACTTGAATACTTCATTCATTTGTTGACTTTACCTTGCAGAACACAGGAGTAGCTAGTCTAACGATGAGTTTTTGTTATCTATTAGTCCTTATAATCACAGAATATGTTTTTTTTTTTTTTTTAAATTGCCCAGGCTAAAAAAGATCAGAAATCCCATCTAAAGCTGTGTTTCCAAGTCTGTACCTGGAGAAGGCCTTGGCGCAGTGAGGACAGATGTACGGTTTCTCCACGCCGCCTTGGTGTGAGCGCACGTGATAGCTCATCCGGTCTTTCCTCTTGAAGCGCTGCTGGCAGATTGGGCAGGAGTACGGCTTCTCGTCCGAGTGTGACAGGCGATGACGGTTGAGGTGGTAGACGTCTCTGAAGGCCTTCCCGCAGGCCTCGCAGGCGTGGTTCTTCCTCACCTGGTTGGTGTTGGGACTGGGATTGGGGTTTGGGTTCTGAGGAACAGCAGCAGAGATACTGTGAGGCTCTGTGGGAGCATCAGCTGAGATAGTCAGACAAGTCTACAGAGAATGGCAGCTGTCAAAACTCTTTCTTTACGGTTAAGGCCAATGTTTTTAAAAGGCTTGAGAGAAACCAGATAATGTTAGAGTCATACAGAGAGCGTTGTTTAATCAAGACTATATTGACAAACTATATTTGCTTTTACTAATGGAGTTTTTAGCTGGTTATGAAATAGACTGAGGCCTCTATATAATCTATTAAAGCAAACAAAACATAACCAACAATGGTTGTCCTCACTGCCACCAGGTCAGTGTCAGACGAGGCAATTAACAACTTTGTTTACAATATTTTCAAGGCAGTAATTCTTGGAGTTATAATGACAAGAAATAAGGAAATAAGGTGTTATAAAGCAAGTAATAAGAGATATTTTTCATCAGAAAACACTGCCAACATATGTAATGGCCCGATCAGTAAAGATATAAGATTTAACTCTACAGGGTTTTCTCAACATGAGCACAAAAAGAAAGCCTCACAAAGAAACCTTTGAATGATCGAGGATATTTGTGCTGACATTGCATTCGGGAAAAAAAAGAGAAAGAAATGGAAAAGGACTCAAACTATAGAAAAGAAATCTCAAAGAAAACCCAGAATAAGTGCCCTATAGAAAGACAGCTTAGAGATGTTTGGCCACAGTTTTCTAAATCTTCTCCAGGTGTTCCTAAGATATCATATTCACGAGAAACAGGCAATATCAATGGTCAGAAAAGTGCGTTTTTTTTTTAATCGTAACATCAGAGTGAGGTTGACCTTTGATTTTTGGGCACTTTATTATTTTGTCCAATCAGATATTTGTTTGGAATAGTGTCATGATCATTATAGCTCTTGAGTAATAGCCCAAAAATATTTTTTAGGAGGCAATGA